TATATATATATATATAAAATTCATTTTGATCGACTAACTTAATTAGTTTTCTAATCTGAATGAATTGGGTAATTGAAATTTATATATAAGAATGAAAGTACCGAATAAAAACAAAATTTTACTTAAAAAAAAACTGACTTTAAAAGAAAAAATGGAGTAGAAGATCCTGAAATGATATTGTTTACTCTCCATATCAAATTTTAATATTATTTTAATTTTTATCCTAAATCAATTATTATTGTAAAATTTAAAAGTTAAATAATATTTTTTAATTCTATTCCTATCAAATAAGTATTTTTTTATCGATTAGTCATTTATTTTTTACAAAACGAGATAGTGAGATATTAATGAAAAGTATTGGTCCAAAATTGTATTTATTAAAATATTTAATGATAATATATTGATAGTATAAAATAATTTTATACAATTTTGCATAGTCAATAAAAAATTTTATGGTTAGGAGTCGTTATATAGATTAGTCCAACTTGCAAAATTTTATTTTATACGGGTCAAGTTCATATTACAAAATAAATAAATTTATTTTTCAAATCTGTATTAAAGTCGCCAAAATCCATGAATAAGAGGATTGATATGTGACTCTAAATAATAATTTAAAAAAATATTTTTTTAAAACAAAAAATGCATAAAATTAAAAGAAAAAAAAATATTTTTACTTTTAAGTTAAAATCCACTACACTAAAATTTATCAATATTTAAAATAGTTTTAAATATTAAATATTAAAATGTTAAGACCAAAAATATTATCAATTCTTATATAATTGTATCAAAATTTTCAATAATAAAAATATCAAAATGGCTTAAAAACAATTTAAATGATAAATACACATTAACTAACCATAATTTTAATATCATAATAATTTAAAAGATTAGATATACAATTAAATACTAAAATCTTAATATATAAGAAAAAATTAATCAACAAAGTCTAAGAATTTGCCCGCTTCACAAACTTCATGAACTAAAATAAAAAACTAAACATAATTATATAGAGACTCGTGATATATATACTATATATAGATTGATAGATAAATTTTAAAAAAATGTATTAAAATGAATATATCATGAGTCTTACATAAATTTTAAAATAAAAAAAAACGTTCATTATATGTGAAGTTTATAGACTTAACGAAATAATTTATAGATTTTGGATTCATTTATCCACCTCTATTATGGTTAATTGTGATCGATTAATTGTATAAAATTATTTTACAGATGGATCGCTATTAAATTCTTTGTTAAATATTTATGGTAAAAGTGCCAAAGATTTTTTTTTTAAGATTAATGTGCATATATTAAGAAATATTTAAAATATATGTAAGATTGGATAAAAAAATCCTTATTTGATATTTCGGAATCTCGATTTTTTTGTTGTTGTAAGTATTAACTCTATTATCCTTTTTAAAAAAGAAAAAGAAAAAAAAAAGGTAGTGGATGAAAAAATGTCTATTAAATAAGAATTCTAAGAAAAGTAATTGTTTTGGGAAAAAAAATGGAGGTTAAAAAGAATGAAGATTTGGAATAGAGAATATAAATTGTTGCATGCGTGTAATTTCTTTACAAGATTATCATTTATGAGGACTAATGTGTTTTTTTCTTCTTTGTTGAATTTTGTTACGAAGGGATGAATGTGTAACTGATGATATAGAGACAGTGCATTAGGGTCTACCTGTCTGCAGGTGTTTGAAAATCCTGGTCTTGTGCATTCATAGCCAGCAACCACTTTTTTCTGTCACAGTAACTTTTTACTAGTTTTTAATTCTCCACGTTGTTTCTGTGGCTCATATAAATATCTAATTCATTCCTTAAATCTTCTCTCTTTTCTTTTTTTTTCTTAAATAGAAAATGCTTATATTGTTTTGATGGTTGTTGGATTACTTCTAAGTTCTAAACCAAAAGAAGAAGCAAATCAATAATAATATTTTTTGCAAAACTTGAATATAATATCACGTGATTATCATTTCACATCAGCATAAAAAATTATCTTGATATGTTTTTAAGAGTTTTTTTAAAAGTAAAAAAGAGAAGTTTCCAAATAAATTAATTATGATAATTTAATGACGAATTATAAGGTAGCCACCATCATAGATATCATTACTTACAAATCTACTGCATTCATGTTTAGCATTCGCCCTTGAATACGCTTCAAATTTACTTTTATAAAACCTACCATTTACTAAAACACTGAATCAATATCTTAAGTATACCGAGAGAATCCATCCAAAAGATGACTTTATTAAATGAGAGTTTTATAACTCAAAGATCATATCATTTTTTTTTTTATTTTACTCGATGCGGCTCTCATAGCACAAAATATTTGAAATTTTGAAAGTTGAATAGTGAAATGTACAAATTTAAAAATTATTTTATAAAATTTTTGAAATCATGAAACTTGTGTGACAAAACATAAAACTAAACCTAAGTAAATTATATAAATAAAAAAAATGGTGAATTATATCACAAACTTTTGATAAATTATTTTTTTCTAGTTTAAAGAATATCGTTTTAAATTTTGTTGCAAATGAAAAAATATTAATCCGACCTTGTAATATTTTAAAAAAACATTGAATATAATTTAGTAATAAGATGAATATATATATATATATATATAGTATATAATGTGTGAATGAAAATTTTATCAAGACTTAAAATTACACTCTCGATCATTGTATAAAAATATATTGTAATCCCATCATTATCATTATCACTATCCTTATTAAATAAATATTTATTTGTTTGCATGTCAACTTTTTTTTTATCAATAAATGTCATTACAATGGGATGTTTGTGTGTCTATATATATATTGAGAGTGTATATGATAAAAGCATGTCTTAATATGAAAGATGAGATGAATAAATCAAAGCCTTATGATTGTGATAAAAATAACTAATAGTTAAGATTAAAACTCAATTATAAACACTCTCTTACAAGATTATTACTATTATCACTTACACAACTATTAACATTAATTATTATCACTTACTCACATTAGTGTCATTGTCACTTTTGTTGTTACCATACCATTGCTACCAACGACAATGGTGGTGGTGACGACAACAACAACGATGGCAAGTACAAAAGCTCATTGTAGTATTCATGTCAGACGTAAGGTTAGTCATGTCAGACACAAACCGTCTAGAAAACAACATATGCTCTTTGGATGCGTCACGCTAAGGCGCACGATGGTTGCCATCGGGCACCATTTTATACCTAGTATTTCTCCATGTTTGCA